TCCAATAAGTTGAAAATTAAAGTATAAATGTATATAACTTGACAAACAAATAAATGAAACATCTAAATTATTCAAATATTATCGAATAATACTCTAGTACTTAAAAAGATCAAATTGAACCTATGTAATTAGAAGTAGTGAATAATTTTAATAAAAAATTATATAAAAATGGTAAAAATACTAATAAAGTGTTTTTGGTGGTGGATGATCCCACCATCAACCCATGGGTTAAGTGAGTTAATTAGACTCGCTTCAACCCACATTAAAAAAATTGAAATTTTCTCAATCCAACCGGCTTGAACCCGTGACAAGTTAGGTTGACTCAGATGTTAGAACCCATTTTAAAATCTTTAATAAGTAACCTATTATATTTTCTAATTCTTTTTTTGGAAGTTAAGCCAACATAAAATAAAAATAAATTATATAATAATTAGAATAACCGTCTAAACTGCTTATGTTGCTTATGCATGTAAGGCCCACATTTGTTGTAGGTTTTGTAACTCAACATCCACTAGTACAAAAACAACATATAACGTCACGCGTTCAACGTGCAACCACTGAATAACCAACATTAAAAATGAGCGATGACATTTTTGTAAATAAATGCAATTATTAAACGTTGTTTAGAATTGTAATTCGACGTAAAAGATAAAACGTCGAATGACTTTTAAATTCGATGTCAATAGGTTAGTGAATTCAATAAAAATTTGAGTGAGAGATTGAAAATTCATTCACTTTATCTTAGCGCACGATACCCTCTTCTCTTCTCAAACTTTTCTCGGATGAAGTTTGACGAGCATCACATGTAATCTTTCTTTCATTTGATACAAATGCATGTTAATTAATTACTTTATGTATGATTTTTGTTTGTTTTAACCGATTATTTTCGTGCTCTTGTCCTTCATAGGCGCATTCTGCTTTCTCTCTCACTGTGACGAAACTTTATTCCGACGAACCCACCTTTTGAAAGTTACTTTTTGTTTTCGTTTTGAAGAACTTATTTGTTGAACTTGTTTGTTGTTTTTTTTTTGTTGAACTTGTTTGTTGTTGTTGTTTAGTTGAACTTGTTTGTTGTTGTTGTTTGTTTGAACTTATTTGTTGTTGATTATTATGGTTTGTTGTTGATACTAGACTACATGTTCATAGTTCATGTTTTATAAAATATCAAACACTGAAATATGTTGTTTTTTGCTTTTCAAGTCTCAGAGTTGTAAAAAAGGATCAGAATTAATTAAAAAAAAATTGATTAACGTCAAATATTGACAAAATTCGACGGTAATTCGAATGGTAGAATTAAGAACTATAGGTCTGAAACCCAGGGTCAAAAAATCACTCTGATTCAACGGTAAACGACTTCACAATGATGAAAATACACCAATGTAGACTTTGTGTTATGCGGGAAGGACTCTCTCTTCCTTTCTCTCTTTAAATGACTCTTCTCCTCTTTACTAATCTAATATCTCTACATTAAAATAATGTGAGACATAATAATCTATATTATTTGGACTTATTATTCATATGGTGGGAAGAAACCAGTTACCAAGAGTATGTATGATTATCCATTTCTTATATTTGTTCATTCTTTTCAATTTATTTACCTTTAACATTCCTTTCAATCCTTTTTCCTTTCAATATCCTCATCAAAAATAGCTTTACAATAGAAAAATCTTCTTAACTAAATTTTAATTATTAATCTACCCTATTATGATATTCTAATTATGTCATATTATCGTACATTTTGTTTTGTTCAAAAAACTATTAAAGACTTCATATCATAAGAAAATATAAACTTAACATCACTTACACCAGTAACATATCAATAAACTTATAATAACACGTTGATAAATATGAATTTTAGATAATCATTTTAAAAAGAAAGAAGCTTTCTACACAATTGTTTTATTGTTCATTTTATTTGTTAAAGTATATATTATTTAATCTTATTTGAAAATAATTATTTCTAAATACTTATCAAATGAAAGAAAAAAAGGAATTCAATCTGTTAGTCGTACCTTCATATATGTTCTTTCTATGAGAAGTTTGGGGCCTTGGTAGAGTCAAAAAGTAAAACTGGAAATGAGAAAAATACGCTGCCGTTTTAATAACACCCTTTTGGGCATTCCCGACCTATAATTGATTCAACAGCACCACAACACTGTGCCCTCTCTCTGTCTCTCTCGCCACCAACCTCAAACCATGGCCTCGTTTGCTCGTGGAGCCGCATCCCTAACCCGCGTCGGTCTTTCCGCTTCCAAGACACCCATTCAACTCATCCACCGCCGTGGTCTCGCCGGAGCAGCTGGTAATTTTCCCCATCCAATTCTTTCCCTCAATTCACCCCTTCCCATTATTCTCTTTTCATTTTTTTTTCAAATTCCCAAGATTCAGTTTATTCTCACTTTATCCATTGTCGATGATCGAATTCGAAATTTCTGGGCTGCTCCTTTTGCTTTCTCTTGTTCCTCCGCTACCTTTTTCGAAAACCTAGGACTCGGATGTGCTGTGAAAAACACTGTTTGGGAAAGGTTATATGATGGGAATACGTTGCATCGGATTTCAAAAGTACGTTTTTGATTCATTTTTAAATGGGGTTTGTACAAGGGGTATTCACGATGAGGAATGGCATGGAAAGTATTTAAATAAATCAAACTTTGTTAAAACTAATCTAGGTCTTCCATCTTGGTATGTCATGATGGTGGAATAAAACAATGAGTTTTTTTTTCCGGTTTGTCTGTGGTATGAGTGGTACTGAGCTGGATCCTTAACTGAGATCTTAGGGGTGGACATTGTGCATTGAAAAAACTGACAAATCTGCATTAAGGATGTTTCGTGTCGAAGTTTAGTCGCCAATAAAAGTGATAAATACTTCATACTAATAACATGATAATCCAAAAAACGAGGAGCATTTAGTTTTGATAGTGTAATGTGACTTAGTGAACCCAAGTTGATATTGTTCAATCAACTGACATTTGCTGTTTCTTTTATTTTTTGTATTCTGCCATTGGGATCAGTTTTGTGTGTTGTAGGACTGTGTATATAGTGCCATATTTGGAATGGATTTAATCATTTAATGTTTGATTGTTATAGATCACCATGGACCTCCCAAAGTTAACTTCTGGAAAGACCCAATGAGCCCGTCTAAATGGAAGGAAGAGCACGTGAGTCTCTTGTTTTGTGTTTTGAATTTCCACTGCGCTCAGTGGATTTGAATTGTTAATTTTCGCCATTTGATGATTGGTTTGTTGTTTTGGAATTTGAAAATAATGTGTGAACATTCTCTGGGATGGTTGTTTTATGTCTGCAGTTTGTGATTATCTCTTTATCTGGCTGGGGACTACTCGTCTATGGAGGATACAAGCTCTTCACAGGAGGCAAGGGCAAGAAAGAAGAGGTACTTTCCTGTTTATTTGTTACTGCTTAGAAACAGTTTATTGGGTGCAATGCTACACAAACATGCGTTATGGGAAATTGTAAAATTTATAGGACATTACAGCTATTGTTAATATAAATACAGAAATAACATTTCACGTAAAACAAAAATATTTGCATTGTTTAGTTCAGTGCATTTGTTCTGCTCAATATATTCATAGTTTGGGAAAATACTTCCTACACACAGAAAGTTGGAATGGAGAAATTTTAATTTCGATGATAAAATTTCAGCTTTGGTCAGGATTCCTATTCAATCCGAATAAACTCTAGCCTTTTTCATTTGAAAGTTTGGTATTTGTACTTTGTTGTCACTGAAGGCTTTTTGTTTTTTGTAAGCAATATTGTAAGGCTAGATAATAATCAGATAAGTTCAGATGGTGTAATACTTCAATGGATCAGATGAAGTGTTGTTTATATTTCTCAATGGCTTTTGTATGGTATAATATTTAATTTATAGCTATAAAAATTGTTTTAGCATGGTTCTGGATCTGGTGGTGAGGTTTGTCTTACTAACCAAAAAAATATACCGTTATACAGCAGTTTTGTTTAAAGCACTTCAAGTGAAATTTAATCATAACTATAGTAGGTGGCCAGTTTGGTATTCAGCGGATTTGTGTACTTTCATTTTAATCTCATCTGTATTTTGTATATACTGTGTTAAAATTTTAGTTCTCGTTCACTGAATGCTCTCAATATTTGCAGAATTTGGTAAAAGAAGCATCTCAATGAGCTTTGGAGAATATTTACAATGCAAAATGTTCTTGGTAATAATCTAGCGCCCTGACTTTCCCGAGTTTTTCTGACTCGGTCTTGTTTGATGGCAAACAAATATTTTGGCCTGTTATCCATTAATCTATGGCTACATTGAATATCTGTAGATGATCTTTTTCCAGAACAAGGTGTTACATTTAAGTTTTATTTACCCGTTTATGCAAATTTCTGCTTTCCTTTACATTTGCAAACATGCACTTTTACTGACATTGCGTTAACTACTGATGAAGCTATGTCATGTTCCTACCTCACAAATTTTGAATACTTGAATGATCTTAATGAGCCTAACACTTTTATTGACATTGAAAGTTAGTTCTCACATCATTCACGACAAGAGTAATAATGGATATCTTTCTGCCAATGTACTTTCAACTAATGTTCACCTATCCGAATCAGTTAACGAGTAATACTTATGCTTTGGCTAAAATGCTTTGGACAATGTGTTTCTTCCATTGCAACTCGAAAGCAACGCCTAGTTCATTTAGTTCGAGCAAAATACTCATCTTTTCTAAATTAATTAGCTGCGCACATCTTATAGGTCATTCAATTTCAGTAAACGATGGGATTCTGTTTTCAATCTCGTTGTCCTTGTTAAATGAAGAGATATCATAGGTCATATAAATTCAGAAAAAAATGGCATTCTACTTGTGTTTTCAATCCCACTGTCCTTGCAGATGAAATTATGCAGAGGTAGGCGTGATTATGCGCTGTTGTTGATATGTTAAAAAACCATTTTTATTTGAACAAACGTTAACTGCACTACTTGGCCTAATTTTATTTAGTTAAAGAGATTAGTTGTCTGATTGTAAAACAAAATATTTGATATATTACCACTAAGAAAAATAAAAGTTCTGATATTCTGATATATTACTTCTTGACTTCGATACAAACTTTCATGAGTTGGAATTTTTCTCAGGACATCTGAACACTAGATGGATGGAGAAAATATAGAATATAGCTTAATTACAAACCAGACTGATATTCTGACTCGTGTAGCTCTTCCTTGTAATCATTGTTTTCATCTTTAAATTCAGAATGCGATTTCTTAAAAATATCTTCATCACCGTCCTCGTCATCGTCATGGCTAGTGTCAATACTATCTTTATGTTGCTTTTGTACACGCAAAATCTCCTCTAATTCTTCTGGCCGTTCAATTAACACTTTAGTTTTTGTTTGTCCTGCATTCTTGTCAGCTTTGTTGATATGTCTCTTGCTCCAGTTTTGTTGGGCAACACTCTGTTCATGCACTTCTGACCGTCTCATCTCGTCCAGTTTCTGATTCTCTGGGTATATGCTAGTTCCACTGCTTGTGACATTGGCCTCTCCTCGGTCAGGCTTTAAGAAATTGGCCTGTGACTTGTCTTTTCTTTGGCTATTTTTGTTCCCTCCTTCATCCTTCCTTAGAAAACTTTCCTCATCATATACTTTCCCAATTCTTCTACTTTTAGCCTCATCTTTATAAACCTTTCTATTGCCAATGTTATCAGAAACCACATTGTTCTCCATTAAACTACTATTGACAGTGGTTCTCCAGCGCTTTCCCTTTGTTCTTCTTGCATGGCCATGTTTCCTCTTCATCCCAGCCAATTGCTTCACCTGACCTCCACTATCTGTAATGTCCTCTACTTGTCCTGAATGTTCTTCACTCATTGTTTTCTTCTCTCTCCCATACACCACTTCGGCGTCATCATTATATTTTACCACACCATCACCATCGCTTTGTGAGTTTTTGTTTGCCTTTCCAATCTCCCCATCAGTCCAAATTTCATCTTTCATCTCAGTTGCAACACCCCTATCTTTGGACTCGGTTAATTCACTTTTACTTGCATCTTCGTTGTCACCACCCTCTTGTTTGACAGATTCACTGGTATCTTCCTCCTTCTCAGATTCATCTTGGGCTTGCTTTGTTCCATTTGCTGTCACAATCTCAGGAAAGGTTGTTGGGTGATCATTAACTGGGCTTTCAAGACGGCGCTTCAAGTCTTCTATCTCTGCTTCCTTATGCTTAAGATTCTCTCTTAATGCCACTATCTCAGAGCCTCCCTGTCCCACTTTGCCCACCTTTTCTTGCATCAATCTCAGCTCATTCTGCTGCTCCTCAAATGCTGTTTCCATCAGTTTCTGCTCATCTTTCAGTGAATCCAAGGTGGATTGCATCTCCACAACTGTTCTAGACAACTCCATCTTCTGACTTCTCAGAGCGTATATCTTCCCCTTAATTTCTTCGTTTTTCTCTCTCAGCTCCTTGCTGCGATCTCTTTCCTTCTGTATGATTAAGGTAACAGTGTTATTCTAAATTAGAACTTTTTGGATTAACTTCTCCCGAAGTACTTCCAGAAGAAGAAAAAATGAGAAAATAAAATATATTTAACTTCTCCACAAACTATAAGCAATCTATACACTTCATTTATTATAGAATTTCTTTTCATTTAACATTTCTCATCACATTAAGAAGAAACTCTTGTTTATCTCCTTTTCTCCTTCTCCTGTACAAAAGTTTATCTCAACAGGACTTTAATCCACTTTACTGACCACCTAACATCTTGAGAATTGAATCGAGAGAATCTTGAAAATCCAAACATCTTTACCATTTTTCATCCTAGACATAACCTTTCGACAATCAACCTAAAATACCCGTAAACATTGACTTCTGATGTTATGTAAGGTAAAGTTTTGATAAAATGATAATCAAACGGTATTGAGAATTGCCAAATTAGAAACCATTTCTTCACTCAACTCCCAATACAACCTCTTGAATTTTAAATGTATTTTTCAGAAATGCATTGAAGCTGTTAAAACTCACAAAGTTACATGATTCACAAGCAATTTCAATGTTAACAAGTGCATTAATAAAAAGAGAGTCTGTGTTCTTAAGGACGCTTTTATATTCTTTATTGCATGTGGCACCTTGCGTGTCGTGACAAGAGAATGACACGCAAAAGTAAGGACGAGAAGCCGAGAGAGAGAGAGAGAAGGTGGAAGGGGTTGATGGAAGAGAGAAACTAAGAGGAGTTGGTGACCTGCAAGAGAAGCTGAAGAGCAAGAATCTGATGATCTTTCTCTTTGACTAGAAGGGTATAGATGCGCCTCTCTCTGAGCTTGTGAAGCACCATAACCCCAAGCAGTGCAGCCCCAAAAATGATCAACAATATCAAAACATAAGGTCTTCCTCTGTGACTCCCTCCACTGCTGCTATGCACCCCTTTGTTGTAATAAGCCATCTCTCTCACAGTGGTGATGATGAAGATGAAGAATGTATATTTAGCAACACCATCAACTATGAAGGACTTGTATGTTCTTCTGTCCTTGGAAAGGAACAAGGAACAATGAAGAATGAAGTGGGGTCTCTCTCTTCTCTCTCTTCTCTCTCTTCCTGAAGAGTTCAGATTTTGGATTGCTTGTCATGCAAAAAGAAAGTGCCACCTACTCATATTGCGGAGTTCACAAAGTTGAGTGTGCATGGAAATTGTGTCAGGCATTTCATCTGTGACAACCTCTTTCTCTTTCCCATGCTCTCCTCGTTTTGACTGTTACTTACACCCTCCTACACAAAATACTACATTGGTATTTGTTATCATTATGTTCATAATTAGAACTATAAGTTGATAAATTTATTCTATCAGTCAGTTACTTAATGTGTTCCAATGCAAAAATTAGCACAAACAAACTCAGTTACTTCCAGTTAAAGGTACTAAGGTCCATGTGGACATGTGTGCCAACTGGGATGATGTGTGTCCAGCTATTTTGTTTTTTAATTTAAAGGTGTTTTCCGAGTTGTAAGTTACTACTAATTGACTTTCTTAAACCTTTAAGATCCCTTTTTGGTTGATCTCAGAATTTTGATACTAATAATCATATCTATAACTTTTTTTTCTTCTTTTTCATATTTATAACTTTCTTTTTTTTCATAATTGTGACCCAAATTTGCAGGAAATAATTACTATTATATTTTTATTTACAAGTATGATTGATTTCTACTATAAACAAGTTTCAGGCTTAATTAGTACAAACTTTGTAATCATGTTAAAATGGATTTACATAATGTTTATAAACCGTGCTTACAACTATAAAAGTTATATACTAATATAGAGCAACAATAATAAAAATTGACATATAGATGATGATAATATTTACGGTAATAATAATACTAAAATTGATAATATTATGAATGTAGAAATAATAATCAAGATGATAAGGAAACTATAATACGTATTATTTTAAATTATAAGTTTAATTTACAAAAGGACGTCCTGTACTCATTTATATAATATAAATAAGGATGACAATAAAGAGTGAAATCATGTGAATGATTATTAGTCCATAAAAAAAGTACATAATAACTCGTAGATCACACGAGCAATGACAGGATGGGAAGGATTAGTCTCATAACTTCCAACAAAAAATTCCACTATATTTTAATCTTCAATCCTCTTTTATTTTATTTCTTTTTTCATCATCCTTCACTTCACACTTGAATCTCCAATCAGCTCTCTTACTTAAAAAAAAAATTTATAATTGTAGTTGAAAAATTATTTTTTTGAGGATAATAAAATCTTTTTAATAGATCTTGTTTTATTGTATTATTTGTATTTTAAATTTATCACATCTCAATTATTCAAACGTACGCAAATCATAATAGGCAAGACTATAATTACAAAAAAGGAGACTATATCCAATGTTATTAAAATGGAAAAACAACAATGATGTTTTTGAAATCAATGTTTAATTACTACATAATTTTAGTAGCTTAAACAATACTTTAATTTTCTGTTTCCTTATCATCAAATATTTAACTTTGACATATTTATTTGATATGGTTGTTAATTTTGTGCTCATTAAACTTGTTTTAATTTCACTGTCAATTGTAAAATCATGACATAAATAAAAATGTTAAAAATTAAAACAATGTTATTGAATTGCAAAAGTTTTTTTAAAACTTTTGCTCACGCAGGCCAAGAATTATGCAGGAAGGGCTCATATGAGTCAATTGACATTATTTCTATTTGATGTAAGTTTTTTAACACATCATCTCATCTCACGTTAACAGTTTTACGATAAATCTAATAAATAATAAACATCAATAAAAATAAATTATAAATAATTTTAATACTTTAAATTTAACTTATTTTTATAAAACTAAAGTTTATACTATGTATAGTGTAAATTGATTTCATCTTTAGGTATTTCAACAAAGTATAAATATTTTAAAATTGATTTTTTCAAATACATTTTATTTCGAAAATATCGCAACGATATTTCTATGTTTTCTCTATTTAACAATGAATGCAAAGATATGAATAAACCTATCTTCATTGATGGTAGTACATATAGGTTGGATGATGGTATTCTGTATTGTGATTAAGTCCTCTCAGTTGTTTGCGTGAATAGCTGTCAGATTAGTTTAGTTGAGTTGTTTGTTGCACACTTGCAACTTGCATTCATAACAAAAATTATGTCAAATTAATATTTACAACATCATTTTTAATATATTTTTCAGATAGTATGCTTTGGAATTTCAAATTTCATTGAATTAGGGTCCTTTCTTATTTACTAATAGTGGGGTATGATATAATTGGAGAAAAAAAAATCTTATAAAATATAACAAATCGACCATAATTTTGCGAGATATTTTATAAAAAAAAATATATCTCCCCAATTCGACAATACTATATATTATATATGATTTTGAATAAAATTACCAATATTCAAACTTTTAATTCATAAACCAATCAAGAAACTAATACATTATTTTGAATTGCATATTATTGTATTTATAATAACACAACAACTAGTGACCGAAGTTTTTCTTCGACCAACCTCTGACTAGAATTCAGATCTTAATGTGTGAAGCTATAAGTGGTATTCTTAATGATAATTATATTAGATGATATGTAACTCACACAATTTCTGTAGTTTATATTGATTTATTATTTGATATAATTTCCATCCCTGATTTTTCAATTATATAAGTCTTAAATAAGATTTTTTATTTTATTTTATTGATGAATAAATTTAAAAGCTTAAACTTAACTCACTCTTACTAAAAACAAATAGTATTTTATTGGTGATGCATTTTCATTGTCTATATCTAAATAATCAATTTTGAGTTTTAATTTTTTAAGTTAATTATTGGCATGCTTTGTTTTCCCACATTTTTAATAGTCAATTTATCTAATTCCTAGATATGATTATTTTAAGTCAATTTATATCATTTTATAAATCTTAAAAAAGGTTGAATCCTTAAACTATAAATTTATAAATAATTTCATGATAGTTTTAAAAAATGTTCTTATGCATACAAGTTTTTTTTATGTTATATATTTCGTCTGAAATAATTGACACTTTAATATGTGAGATAAAAAACAATTTTCAAGACTAATATGTTGTCATAAACTTGTTGATCACTTTCAAATGTATGCTTCCAGGAAAAGTTAGTGATAATCTTGGAGATAGCGTTAATAGAGGATTAAGTTTATTACTAAAGTTCAAGCTTTGGTTTTAATAACTAAAAATTATTTATCATCCACTTTTATAAAGCGAAGAGATCACTAAAAAATATAATATATAGTTCTCATTTAAAGTATTTTCTAAATTTATTTTAAATCTTACACATAGTTTTTTTTTCTTTAAAGTATCAACTTCCACTTAAATGTTAAGAACTTAAAAATAAATCTAAAGGATTTTATGGTTGAGTTAGAAAGGATAAAGTTTCGCTTAAATTCATGGGTAATTTTGATTGAGTTATTCAAATGATATTTAAAGTTACAAGCTATAACAGTCACCAATTTGATAAATAATAACATCTCATATTAAAGGAAAATTAGATCTACATTAAAGATTGCTTATTCACTGTTACATGTTTTTCATATGACAGGGCTTTTTGCAACTCTCTTGTACAAAGAGTGTACACAAGACCATTTACTACACAACACACTTAGAAAGTTTGTATTTTTATTGTCTTTTTATTATTAGTCAAATTTAATTTAGTAAAGAGGTGTCATCAGTATAAATAATTATTTTGAGAACTTAGCTATTTGTTCAAACATTACTTTTTATAATCATATTGATAATATATTATGGAACTTCTTAGGAGTTATTTGAATGAAAATTAATCGTAGTTCAATTGGATTTGAGATAAGTGTTTACACTTTTTTTATTTTATGTGTAATTTGTCTCTTTTATTTATATCTTTACTTGTAAAAATATTTTTGAAGAAATGTTTTCATTAAAACCACTACATCTCTTAGTTCTTTTGTTTTTGTTGAGTTGAGATATACCCAAAAGTACACAAATCTTTTGTTTAGGTCGAGACGTATCAAGAAGCTCTATTGTCCACTTTTCTCTCTGTGCTTCAAATAACATGTCATTTTTCTACTACATTTGTCATGATGTTCTCTTCTAGTAAGGGTTGGGTGACCTTGGCGAAGGAGCCTACAAAGATACTCTAATGCTCAAGTTAGAAACTAATTATAAAATAGCAAGATCCTAATAAATGATTTTATCTATCTACTTACCTCGTGAATAATGACTATATATAGTATGTGAATGGACCCTGCTAATTGGGTCCAGGGTTGTAGGGTTACATTGTTTTAGGGTTTCATAATATGGTTAGTTATCCTTAATCCTTCTCAGATTTGTCCTTCTTGTTTATGTAGATCCATATTGTAGTACTAACGTACGTGTTCCACGTTGGTACATACTGAAGTGTCCATGTCCCTCTATGGATCGAGATGTCCTCCACCTACACTCTATTTTTCAACAATGTGTGAAAACTATTATAACTATTAAAACAATGTATTTTTATCATAAAGTATTTCAATTTATATATACAAATATTTTTTGTCTAAAAATTTCTCAATCAAACATTTTATAATTGATATCCAATAATTATTTATAGGTTATAAAATACCTCTATATAAAGAAATCTCACTAAATAAACAAAAAAACAAATTCTAGATGTGATGAAGTCTTAAAAAGCAATAGAAAAAAAATCTTCACCAACCCACCTAATTTTTCTAATAAGTACTTTTTGTTAGGTTAGTCATTTTACAAAATATTGAAACAGAAACTCACGTGAAATTATTTTTGTATGAAATAATTAGGCAATATGAAAAATCCACAAATTCATACTTAGTAATTCAATTTTTATGCAAAAACAAATTTGAATCGCTTTTAAGCTATTAAAATTTTTGTTGAGAAGAATTTGTTATATCTTTTTGTGAATATAATGGTATTTTGACTGATCATAAATATAATTTAAGACCTTTATCCTTTATTTAAATTTGAATTAAAAAGTTTTTGTTATTTTTTTAATTGAAAAAAAACTTGTAATTAATGAGTCAAGTCAATCCATTTAACCTATCAACTCGTGGTGGACTGAGCCAAGATTCAAAATTTTTTGGCGTGCTAATAAGTGAGCCAAGTTGAGATGACCCACTACGTAGCCAACCCGTGATGGGTCGAGCCTGATTAGTCCGAATGATCCATTTTGACAACACTAATTAAAAATTTATAATATATGATAAATCTCAGTAATAAAAAAAGCATTTTTTTTAATATATATTTAGCAAAAGTAATGATATGTTATGGGACAACAAAGAGTGATGAACTAGTTAATGTTGTAGATTTTTCTTGTGTGCAAGAATTCAATATCAAAGTCCTTTTCAAAAAAATTCTAAATTTTCTCTAAACTTTGTAATATAAAGCAGGTGGAATATCAAGTGATACATATTGATTATATTCCATGTTTAGTTTCTTTCTTATATAAATTAATTTAAAGATACGAAGTGGAACTAAAAAATGATTTAAGAAGTAGAAAGGTGAATATAAAGTTTAAAGTCTTAAGATCATCTACAAAGATTGAACTGTCTAGCAACTTGTGTTTTGAAGTTTAACACACAAACGAGACATTGTCTAGTAAATGTAGTCTTTAAAAGAAGTTTTTACTAAAATATTATTGATAAACTCAAGATGATGTATTTAAAGTTATAAAAGGTGAACGAGACATCGTCTAGTAAATGTAGCCTTTAAAAGAAGTGTTTACTAAAACATTATTGATAAGCCCAAGATGATGCACTTGAAGTTATAAAAGGTAAAATCTATATTTTGATAAAAGGCTTGTCTAAGACAAGTAGTGTTAAACATTGTATATATGTTTCATTTAAAAGCACAGACTTATGCCAAACAATAAGTTCTACGTAACATGTCTAAACGCTCTCTTAAAGTAAAAACATTAAATGCATGGGATGTACTACATCAGTGTCTGTTTTGCTTTTTCTCTCTTGCAGATAATGAGAATACCAAGCTTTATTCAGAAGCTCTGCACAAGGATCAAAAAGACATTAAGAGATAGGAAGACATTCTGGAAATGTTTTCTTAAAGCTTTATGCTCTGTCCAAAGTTGTACACATTATCACTGTAAACGTAATGTTACTCTTCCCAAGATGTAGAATAGTACATATGTTCATACATAAGGTTACCTACTCTCAAGGAGGTCAACTCTTTTAGTAACGGATCTTTCTCGAAGATGGCTATATAAAGAGAACTTGTTGAAAAGAAGATGGCTAGAATAGTACATATCTTCAAACACTTGTATTGTTTAACTTTGTGGAGTTAAACATTCTAAACAGTTTGTGTAGAGTTGTAACTAGAAGTGGTTGATAATACTTGGTGAACTAGAAGTTATTGATAATACTTGTAAACCATGAGTGGTTGATATTCGTTGTAATCTTTGTTAAAGAAGAACTAAACGATGTAACTCAGGTTAGAGCGAATCAGTATAAAAATACTTGTATTATTGTTTTGTTTATTAAAGTTTTCCTAAACACTCATTTAAAAACACAAGCGTCTAACAAGTACGGTATATTATCTAACCCTTGCAATAGTCATTAAATGTTATCTTGCAAAAAGATTTTAAAATACTATTCAAATCCCGCTTTCTAATGTTTTCCTATATTTCATTAAGAGCTAAGTAAATAATCTTATAACATTTTTCTTTAGTTAAAATCTAAATTTGAACAATTACTATATTTAATAAATTAATTAATTATTAATCAAATCAAAATATCACTCAATCTAATGTGTATATAATTATGAAATCAAAATTTAACAACGTTAGTTATCTATCGATGAAAAACATAAATCAAGAATAAAAGAAAAAGAGATGAAGGGTAAAAAAGGACAATTCCTAAAACTAAAATCAAAGAAATGATTTTTGTATACTATTTATAACACATTTAAACTATATATAGGATAAAATATGAACTAAACATTTAACTATATATTAGCTTTAATTACGTCCATAAACTTAATTACAAAATTCTAAGTTAAAACAAACAAAATTGAATTTGTATATGCTCTTTTATAAAAATTTAGAAAATTTGTCTTAATTTGATAAAGTCATAGAAAAGTATAAAGAGCTCTAAATCTAATAAACAATATATTCATTTTGAAATCTTAAAAATTTATTATTTAATGTAACTAGAACCAATAAAAATAACATGTACGGAAAAATTATAGTCAAAACAGTAAAAATAGTTAGATAAACTAAAAATATAAAAATTAACAAATATATACATCAAATCCAATTTATTATTTCTCAACAAAAATTTACTAAAAAGTTAAAAGTAAAGAAAATATATATATAAAATATTTTCGCTGCACAATAAAACTATAAATAAATGTATCTACAAAAATATATATCCATAGTAAGTTATTAACAAATCTAGTAAATTCAACAACTTCGGAAACTTAATCAATAGATTAGAAGCTCTTATTAAACATTGAGTGTATATTAACTGAATCTACTTATGTAACCCAAGTTATTCATTCCACCCTTTTTTTTTCTTTATCATTATTGCCACTCTCTTTTACTTGGTAACTTGTTACATAATTATTATCTGTAAAGATTAAGTATATGAGATTAACTTTTACATTATAAAAGTTTTATACTGTAAATTAAGCTTGTCATAAATACGATATTCAAAATAATTATAATAAAAGCTAATAGTTAAACATCATATATAACAATTTGTGATTGAAGGAGTAGAAAACTCTCAGTATGCCATTTTTCAATTTTTACCCTTTGGATTCCAATTGAATTCATAATATATTTCTATTTTATACGTTGAAAGTTTATTGATGATTGGAGACAAGGATGAATGGGTTTGGAGATCCTCTGCAAACCCAAGAAAAACACTGCTGTAAAATACATTATTAGCCAACATAACTCTGAATATCCGCCTTTTGATCAAACAGTATCTTCTCTGCTGTGTTTTTCTTTTACACTGCAAATATATATGCCCCAGTTGGGTTTGTGGTCCAAAATTACCAAGTTGAAGACGTGGCCTATTATAGATTTGATTACAAGTATCCTTGTATAAAGGGAAAATGTTCTTTCTACAAATGGTTTTCTATCCATTTTATACATTTTTCATACTAATGATCATTGTATTCCCTTAAGGTTCTACTTTTTTTATATGGAACATATCAGCAGAATATTTGGTTATTTCAAATCAAATTCAGGTGAAGACAAGCACATTGAGGGTAAACACAGATAGTGGTCCAGCTCAAGTGACTCAGCAAAAGGTGCAGTGTTGCGGTTATTGGAGTGACCACTTCCTGTTGATAATAACTATACTATATCTCATATTTGATATTGATGTTATTCATAAAATTGTAAAGCATGAAAATGGGAGGTTGTGACTCCCTTTTTGCAAGTGATATCACTTGTACATCAAGGTGTCAAAGAGGTGGCTTGTAATTTGTTCAGTCCAACAATTATTACATGATTGAGAGAGCAGTGGCCTTATTGAATTTCATATTTAGTATTGCACCTAATATGATAGTAATATGATGCTAACAGGAGTTTCATCAAATTTGTTATCAGTTCAGTGTGACTCTTAACAAATGTAAAAAGAAACTGAATGTTTTGCCATGAAAAGGAAGAAGGTTCTGCTAGGAGGATCCTTCATTGGATGAAATAGTTCCAAGTTACTTGAAGCTAAATCATATTTCTTAAGGAGAGAATTTGATCCCACTGAACTGTTGTTTCCTGTAAGGAAAATTTGCAAAGAAGATTACTTTTTCATGCTTAGGAAAGTTTCATCCACCTTAGTGAATTTTTATTTCCTTCCTCATCATATATTTTTCTGCTGTACTATAAGAGCATTAAGCTTCGTTTGTTTCCAACAAAGAATAATGTTAATCATGTTTTCTTGTACATGGACCACTTTTCATTCACACACTTTTCACCATCTGATTTCAGTAGGACCCACAAAACTATTTTGGTACCTGAATTTTATTTTGTTACCTGTACTGATACTGATACCATGTGAAGAGATGCTAATGGTGGGTGTTTCTGTATGAAGCATTGTTCTTCCCGAAAAATTACTGCATAACTTTTCTAGGTACTGTTTTTCTATTGTTTAGGTTCAAATTGAATCATGACATTTTTCTTCACTTTTTCAAAATCATGGAAGTAATATACTTTTTAAGACATCTTAATATGTTTATTTATGGGGTAAAACAACAGTTTTAAGTTTAATGCACATGCATTAAAGTTGACAGCGGCAAAAAATTCAAAAAGTACTTTATCTTAGTCTACGTGTATCCAACAGAGAACCATGCTTGATGACTAATTGGCAAAGTATCCACACGAAGGAACTGTTGTGCTTGAGTTTGAACTAAAGGCAAGTCCCTTTAGATGCGCTATTATAACATACTGATCATGTTCCCTGATGAACAGCAGCACAAGGATTAGTGCTTGCAAATGTTAAAAATTCAACTAAAATAATGTGTATGTTGTTGACTTGTTGGTGCCACACCAGATTGGAGTATACAATTTGTCTCCAGAAACTAATAACACTAGTCATAATAACAGATCATTATCACCATTTGTAAAGTTTGAATTATCTTCTACTTAAAGATTCCACATTACCAAGTATATTACAGTCAAAATAGTGGATACAAGTGGAACATAACGCAACCTCATGATTTAGCTTTTATAGTTGAATTTTATTTAAACTCGTTTTAAAAGGTCATCATAACATATCTTAATAACCATAGTATAGAATATATTAGATCATTTATTAGGAAGCTATCATTGTACCACTCACGTCTTTCAATTCTGCAATGTCACACTCAGGAGCCTTTGTTTACCTGCTTGAGTTGCCAGCTCCAAACCCAAATCTAAAGAATATGAAGTGGGTTTCTAATTTATATAAAGATCTTAACACACGCTTACAGTAAATTGTACAAAGTGTAAGCAATGCTGCCTGAATATTTATCCATAACAAAATAGATAACTATTCGAAAGTCCAATGTGAATTTAAATGCCTTTTTGTAACTCGACAAAGTGTTGTAATTGCATAAATGGTTGGTTGGAACTGCAACCAAAAGCGTTTTAGGCCGAAACAAGCATCAAAACTGGTTGTGAGTGCTTGTTGATTGTGAGTATGAACCTATATTGAGCACAAAATTCTGACCTTTTACATCAGATATATATGATCTATAGCAACACTTATGTACACTTGACATCATTCATCCTAATTGAGTTGGGGTACCCCTTTGTCACAAACACTGCTTGCTTAGAGATTCTTTAGATAACAGCACATGAAGCAGCTCACTCAGCCTATCAGCACCTGGGCCTGGCCTAAACATTGTACCATTGCCACGAACGGAACAAGGGTCAGCCCCACCTTCTGAGGTTCCAACACACCAAGCCCCAGGTGAAAATCTGTGGGTGCGCCCCAGAAGTTCCTTGTCAATCTTGTCTAGAACTGGATCATCCTTAGCAAATTTGCGCGCAAAAAGTGCCTTGCTTTTAACCATTTTGTCAAAGTCCTTCATGGTTAAGGAGATGGGATGCTGCTTTGGGGGAGTGTCCCAAGCAATGTAGTGAAGATCATGGCTTATGGCAGTGTGACGGAATTCCTCAGTGTTACAAATGACAGTGTGAAAGTATCCCTCTGGAGAGGACACAAAATTTGTATAGTACATTAGCATAGTCCGTGGAAAGTTATCCCATCCCCATATACAGTACTCCACAAAGGACCGAGTCAGTACAACCCAAGCTGAACCTGTTCACAGGGCATAGAAGTATAGGGATCTACCATGTTCATTGTCCATCTAATGGAAAAAAGTTAAGTAATCATGTCATGCTAGCTAGCTAGTTATTTTGCAATCTTAGAACTGCTAAACCTTAAAAGGGCATCTTAATTTAAATTTGCAGTAGAAAATAGGTTTTTAAAATGTTATAGATAATGGATAGGGACATACCAGTAAACAGTTTAAAAGACGTGGGAAGGGTTCTTCGTTGAGTGGTCAATGCTAAATCAGATTTCTTTGATAAGTAAAGGGCGGGATCAATAATGATGGGCCTTGCTCTTTGATTCCTGCATAGAATAAGTAATATAAGTAAGTCAGGGGAGAAAAACAAGCAGAATATAGTCTACATAAATTTTCAGATGCACAATAATCAAATTCACTTACAATTTCCAACCAGCAATGTGTGTATGCTCGATGAAATTGAGATTTCTTGACAGATTCGAGAAAACATAAAGCAAATCTGGAAAAGCCGAAAACAAATATCAAATGGGTTCAGGAAGTAAACTTTTTGCATGTTTGACTTGATAGATGCTTAAACTAAAACTATAAACAGCATGGAATGATCTATACGAATCTGGATTTATGCCAAATGATAGAATATCAGACAAAGAAGATGCTGAAACCAGAAGACTCAAATCATTGAGTACAAAATACCATGAAGCAAATTGTTACGCAGTTATGCAGGTACTATAAACTTTTTTGCATCTGACAACCACCCAAATCAATTTCAGACTTCTATGAATTTATCTCGAATGTTTTACAATTATGTCCAGTTCATACTTCAATTCCGGCNTACGGAAAAATTATAGTCAAAACAGTAAAAATAGTTAGATAAACTAAAAATATAAAAATTAACAAATATATACATCAAATCCAATTTATTATTTCTCAACAAAAATTTACTAAAAAGTTAAAAGTAAAGAAAATATATATATAAAATATTTTCGCTGCACAATAAAACTATAAATAAATGTATCTACAAAAATATATATCCATAGTAAGTTATTAACAAATCTAGTAAATTCAACAACTTCGGAAACTTAATCAATAGATTAGAAGCTCTTATTAAACATTGAGTGTATATTAACTGAATCTACTTATGTAACCCAAGTTATTCATTCCACCCTTTTTTTTTCTTTATCATTATTGCCACTCTCTTTTACTTGGTAACTTGTTACATAATTATTATCTGTAAAGATTAAGTATATGAGATTAACTTTTACATTATAAAAGTTTTATACTGTAAATTAAGCTTGTCATAAATACGATATTCAAAATAATTATAATAAAAGCTAATAGTTAAACATCATATATAACAATTTGTGATTGAAGGAGTAGAAAACTCTCAGTATGCCATTTTTCAATTTTTACCCTTTGGATTCCAATTGAATTCATAATATATTTCTATTTTATACGTTGAAAGTTAATTGATGATTGGAGACAAGGATGAATGGGTTTGGAGATCCTCTGCAAACCCAAGAAAAACACTGCTGTAAAATACATTATTAGCCAACATAACTCTGAATATCCGCCTTTTGATCAAACAGTATCTTCTCTGCTGTGTTTTTCTTTTACACTGCAAATATATATGCCCCAGTTGGGTTTGTGGTCCAAAATTACCAAGTTGAAGACGTGGCCTATTATAGATTTGATTACAAGTATCCTTGTATAAAGGGAAAATGTTCTTTCTACAAATGGTTTTCTATCCATTTTATACATTTTTCATACTAATGATCATTGTATTCCCTTAAGGTTCTACTTTTTTTATATGGAACATATCAGCAGAATATTTGGTTATTTCAAATCAAATTCAGGTGAAGACAAGCACATTGAGGGTAAACACAGATAGTGGTCCAGCTCAAGTGACTCAGCAAAAGGTGCAGTGTTGCGGTTATTGGAGTGACCACTTCCTGTTGATAATAACTATACTATATCTCATATTTGATATTGATGTTATTCATAAAATTGTAAAGCATGAAAATGGGAGGTTGTGACTCCCTTTTTGCAAGTGATATCACTTGTACATCAAGGTGTCAAAGAGGTGGCTTGTAATTTGTTCAGTCCAACAATTATTACACGATTGAGAGAGCAGTGGCCTTATTGAATTTCATATATAGTATTGCACCTAATATGATAGTAATATGATGCTAACAGGAGTTTCATCAAATTTGTTATCAGTTCAGTGTGACTCTTAACAAATGTAAAAAGAAACTGAATGTTTTGCCATGAAAAGGAAGAAGGTTCTGCTAGGAGGATCCTTCATTGGATGAAATAGTTCCAAGTTACTTGAAGCTAAATCATATTTCTTAAGGAGAGAATTTGATCCCACTGAACTGTTGTTTCCTGTAAGGAAAATTTGCAAAGAAGATTACTTTTTCATGCTTAGGAAAGTTTCATCCACCTTAGTGAATTTTTATTTCCTTCCTCATCATATATTTTTCTGCTGTACTATAAGAGCATTAAGCTTCGTTTGTTTCCAACAAAGAATAATGTTAATCATGTTTTCTTGTACATGGACCACTTTTCATTCACACACTTTTCACCATCTGATTTCAGTAGGACCCACAAAACTATTTTGGTACCTGAATTTTATTTTGTTACCTGTACTGATACTGATACCATGTGAAGAGATGCTAATGGTGGGTGTTTCTGTATGAAGCATTGTTCTTCCCGAAAAATTACTGCATAACTTTTCTAGGTACTGTTTTTCTATTGTTTAGGTTCAAATTGAATCATGACATTTTTCTTCACTTTTTCAAAATCATGGAAGTAATATACTTTTTAAGACATCTTAATATGTTTATTTATGGGGTAAAACAACAGTTTTAAGTTTAATGCACATGCATTAAAGTTGACAGCGGCAAAAAATTCAAAAAGTACTTTATCTTAGTCTACGTGTATCCAACAGAGAACCATGCTTGATGACTAATTGGCAAAGTATCCACACGAAGGAACTGTTGTGCTTGAGTTTGAACTAAAGGCAAGTCCCTTTAGATGCGCTATTATAACATACTGATCATGTTCCCTGATGAACAGCAGCACAAGGATTAGTGCTTGCAAATGTTAAAAATTCAACTAAAATAATGTGTATGTTGTTGACTTGTTGGAGCCACACCAGATTGGAGTATACAATTTGTCTCCAGAAACTAATAACACTAGTCATAATAACAGATCATTATCACCATTTGTAAAGTTTGAATTATCTTCTACTTAAAGATTCCACATTACCAAGTATATTACAGTCAAAATAGTGGATACAAGTGGAACATAACGCAACCTCATGATTTAGCTTTTATAGTTGAATTTTATTTAAACTCGTTTTAAAAGGTCATCATAACATATCTTAATAACCATAGTATAGAATATATTAGATCATTTATTAGGAAGCTATCATTGTACCACTCACGTCTTTCAATTCTGCAATGTCACACTCAGGAGCCTTTGTTTACCTGCTTGAGTTGCCAGCTCCAAACCCAAATCTAAAGAATATGAAGTGGGTTTCTAATTTATATAAAGATCTTAACACACGCTTACAGTAAATTGTACAAAGTGTAAGCAATGCTGCCTGAATATTTATCCATAACAAAATAGATAACTATTCGAAAGTCCAATGTGAATTTAAATGCCTTTTTGTAACTCGACAAAGTGTTGTAATTGCATAAATGGTTGGTTGGAACTGCAACCAAAAGCGTTTTAGGCCGAAACAAGCATCAAAACTGGTGGTGAGTGCTTGTTGATTGTGAGTATGAACCTATATTGAGCACAAAATTCTGACCTTTTACATCAGATATATATGATCTATAGCAACACTTATGTACACTTGACATCATTCATCCTAATTGAGTTGGGGTACCCCTTTGTCACAAACACTGCTTGCTTAGAGATTCTTTAGATAACAGCACATGAAGCAGCTCACTCAGCCTATCAGCACCTGGGCCTGGCCTAAACATTGTACCATTGCCACGAACGGAACAAGGGTCAGCCCCACCTTCTGAGGTTCCAACACACCAAGCCCCAGGTGAAAATCTGTGGGTGCGCCCCAGAAGTTCCTTGTCAATCTTGTCTAGAACTGGATCATCCTTAGCAAATTTGCGCGCAAAAAGTGCCTTGCTTTTAACCATTTTGTCAAAGTCCTTCATGGTTAAGGAGATGGGATGCTGCTTTGGGGGAGTGTCCCAAGCAATGTAGTGAAGATCATGGCTTATGGCAGTGTGACGGAATTCCTCAGTGTTACAAATGACAGTGTGAAAGTATCCCTCTGGAGAGGACACAAAATTTGTATAGTACATTAGCATAGTCCGTGGAAAGTTATCCCATCCCCATATACAGTACTCCACAAAGGACCGAGTCAGTACAACCCAAGCTGAACCTGTTCACAGGGCATAGAAGTATAGGGATCTACCATGTTCATTGTCCATCTAATGGAAAAAAGTTAAGTAATCATGTCATGCTAGCTAGCTAGTTATTTTGCAATCTTAGAACTGCTAAACCTTAAAAGGGCATCTTAATTTAAATTTGCAGTAGAAAATAGGTTTTTAAAATGTTATAGATAATGGATAGGGACATACCAGTAAACAGTTTAAAAGACGTGGGAAGGGTTCTTCGTTGAGTGGTCAATGCTAAATCAGATTTCTTTGATAAGTAAAGGGCGGGATCAATAATGATGGGCCTTGCTCTTTGATTCCTGCATAGAATAAGTAATATAAGTAAGTCAGGGGAGAAAAACAAGCAGAATATAGTCTACATAAATTTTCAGATGCACAATAATCAAATTCACTTACAATTTCCAACCAGCAATGTGTGTATGCTCGATGAAATTGAGATTTCTTGACAGATTCGAGAAAACATAAAGCAAATCTGGAAAAGCCGAAAACAAATATCAAATGGGTTCAGGAAGTAAACTTTTTGCATGTTTGACTTGATAGATGCTTAAACTAAAACTATAAACAGCATGGAATGATCTATACGAATCTGGATTTATGCCAAATGATAGAATATCAGACAAAGAAGATGCTGAAACCAGAAGACTCAAATCATTGAGTACAAAATACCATGAAGCAAATTGTTACGCAGTTATGCAGGTACTATAAACTTTTTTGCATCTGACAACCACCCAAATCAATTTCAGACTTCTATGAATTTATCTCGAATGTTTTACAATTATGTCCAGTTCATACTTCAATTCCGGTAGCACGCGTAGTTCTGGTCATGCAGAGAAAGAATAAACTATTTATAATATAATCCATGTCCCAAATATATTCTGAATTGCAGTTAAGAATTCTTCAGCAACTAACGACTGAGATTGGGAAAAGTAAAACTCCTCTGAAGTTTGTCTAATGTGAGCAGAGGTAATTAGTAATCCATCTTAATTTAAAGGAGACTAAGACCACAATGCAATTCAAAATTAATTAAACAGAGGATATACGTTTGTTCACTTTAGAGAGAAACTCATGAGACAAACACTTGGGTATGAGTGCCCAAAAGTTCTGTAGTAAAGAATCAGATATTTTAAAAAACAATGGATATTTATTGAAAAGAAGAACTAACATCTGCTGTGGTAATGGAGATATTGAAAGACCTTGTTTAGCACCTCTGTGCTGTAAGTTATAGATTATGAATGTAATCTGGCAGATATCAACGATCATAAGTATACAAACAAATCTCCCAAATATATGCATAAAATGCATATTGGGGTTGACTGGAGAAATTCAAGGATGCAATGGTATTGGTGGCAAGGCATATGTCATATCTTCAATAATAGGACCTCAAACTCTGACATCAAGTGGGATAAACTTAGGTTGCTGTTTTCTTAGAGAGCAAGGCAAAGCTAATTTATGGAGATTCAATTTGGCATCCCTCACATTTGTTAGGGAATTGAGCAACCACCAACCCATATTAGCAATGATTTGAATATCAAAACGGTCTGAATGGTACAAGTAGAAATATATAAAATTTACACTACTTGTAGACTGTATTATAAGAGGCACATGAACTAACTAATTTCTGTCTTGCTTCACGAGGATGACTGTCCTTGAATTACTAAAAACAACTACGCTTTAGGCTAGAATGACTGTGGTGGAAGATTATAAATAGAATTTCATGGAATAGCAACATAAAACAATAGAAATACAGAGGGAGAGAAAAACACGAGACAGTGAAAATAGCAAATGATTTTATTTCATAGTTCAGGCCATAAATTACTTGCTAGTCTTTTACTACTTAAACACGTGTAACAAGAAAATGGAAGTGATAATTGTGTTTGATAGTATGTAATGTAACCCACTTATTTCAGTCAGTAGTTGTTAAACAAACCTAATGATGTTACATAGAGATCCATCCTGCATAATTGGCAATGATCGCAAGATTGAAAAAGATGAACAAAAGTCGTTCCTGTTGCTAAAACATCACTGCATACTTTAATAATATTTTCTGCCCACAAAACAATAGTGTAGTGATCAAGGGAAATAAAGTAACAACGTGTCAAAAACGAAAGGCAAACTACACATTATGTAGCAGCCTAACTATTACTATCCATTTGCCATACATCTTCACTGTACACTGTGAAACCACTGTGAAACAGAATCATGTGTTCAAATCTAGACGACAGTTTGTAAGGGTCAGACGAAAAGGCCATAATTTATTTATGCATTATGAGAGAAATTTTATGATAGAACATGAAGTTGCTAATAAAGGGTCAGTTACTAACCATCCTGTGTCATAAGAGGATAATCTGAAGCACTGAGGTTAATAAACCAGTCCCATTCTGAACTTTCCTTCAATAGTATTGCAATAGCTTGGAGGGTGCAAGCAATCATCGTAGGACCCTTTTAAGTTACCAAATTGGATTGAGACATAACACGAACATTCTCCACCTCACGAAAAACTGGATCAGCTTTCACTGCATTTGCCAATTCCAACCTTTCCCTGGGCGGTGCCTCGAGATCTAAATGCAAGATGTATTGATTCCTTGGGTGGTACACTGCCTCTAATGTCCTCATCATCCTATGACTATCACCCTTGGTGCCTGATATAAGGTAGGCAAACCTTGGTGCCTCCCTTTTCACCACACTAACATTAGAAGACCTTTCTATATCTGATTCCACAAAATATCCATTGGAATTCTCTGATCTCTTGAAGGAAATGATTTCAAACGGTGATTGCTCTCCCCCACTATCAGAACTAAGTGCCCCAAGAATAGCTGTCAGAACCAGACTCATAGATATAATCAAACTTGCAAAAAAAGGGAGAATCCACTTCCTGTCACTAAACATCCTTCCTGAATGAGAACCTGCATTTTTCCTCATACTCTTGTGATACCGCCAAACCAGAATCAAACTTTTAAACCCCTTCACTTCAAGGGCAAACCAGGATCTCTTCCTGCGCTCAGTTCCTGCAGATGAGTTTAAACACAAATCTCCAAGAACCCCACAAATCTTAGCAAGATAAGAAGAGAAGTACAATGATTCGGCAGCAGAACCAGAGCCACCCTCTTAACAAGTATATTTAGCATGTAAGCACAGAAGCGTCCATGTTTTCTGCAGGATAAAACTTGGTTTTCAAACAAAGATGCTTATCTTAATCGGCACCAATCCACACCCAATGCCAAAGATTTTGATTTGGGAGCTATATAAGTAACATACATGACAAATCGACAATGGTTCG